ACGCCTATCAACTCGCAAGACGGAACCTTAAACCCAAGGTCCGAACGCTGACCCGGAATAATTTCCCCACCGGTTTCCTGGGTCCTACTTGCGCGTCCCTAGTTGGACTTCTAGGGTTTTATTGTGTGTGTGTAATGGGCATATGACTGTATCTATATACCTAACTTAAATACCTGTATATCTATAATTACATGTTCCTACAGTGGGAAGCCCCGCCAGTCGAGGCGGGCGCGCGCTAGCGCATACCACGATAGGGCATCTTTGGCAACAGAGCCTGATAAGTGTCCAACAAAAAAGAGGTCCTCTCAGAACCCGAAGCGCTAATACTATGACCCTTCATTTCAACCATTCCCAAAGAAGGACCCAGAAGCCCTGTGTAGTCGAGAAATTAATTTAGCTATAGTCTAAACTCCGAGTATCCCGCTTATAAATGGTAATGTCTACTAGAATGCTTTCCTATAATATCATACCCTATACAACCCGAACAATTACCAATACATTACTATGGTCCTACATTTCTGATATAGCTATTGCGAGTACGCACTGGTAGCCAAAGCAAGGAAACCCTAGCAGCGGGCCTCCTGATGTTTTGCTTGAGCCATGGCTTGAGCCAGCGGAAGCCGGCGCTCTTGCTCCAAGCATGCCTGCGCACACATGTCAAGACAGGAACTGTACATGTTCCAGCATCGGATTTCACACCCATAAAAGTTTCTTTGGAGCAAGATCCTCGCTTACAGAGGAAGCTGCTTCCGCACAGGTGTTTCTGGAACAGTAGAAAAGGAGGTTACAAGAGCTCACTTCTTCTTACTTCGAGACTTGTCGAAGTCAACCTTGAGGAAGCCGGCCTTCATCAGGGACACGAGCTGCACGCACTTCATGTCCTTCGTGAGGCCGTCGGAGGGCATCGTCTTGGTCTCGATCCAATGCACCTTTGTGCTGCCATCCACAGGAGGAGCATCGGCGTACAGTGGATCTCCAACTTCCTCGCCCTTCTGTCTCCACACCATTTGTCGCAACCCACACAAGTCTATCGCCAACCGCTTGTCGCCTACGGTGTGTAGGCCAGCCTGCCGAAGGTGCTCTTCCAGCGATCGGCAGTCGGTCAGGAGGTGGATGTCATAGCTGTCCATGGCGTCCACCAACTTGTGGTCGGTCTTCTCGTGATGTAGACCGTGGAGAACTGCACGGAGATGTTCTGCCTCCTCATATCCACCCAGCATAGACAACGTCTCTGCCTGTAAGGTGGACCGGCACACCCTGCGGATCACTGTGGAGTGGTACGTGAGGATGTGCACCTTGCCCTCGCCAGTCTCGAGGAACTTCTTGCCACAAAGTGCCAGGATCTTTCCTGACTGAGATCTGTGTCCCAAGAGACGTCCGTCTCCAGAAACGTCGTGGTCGGCCGCGTGGGAAGCGTCCGTGATGGAGAGGATCTGCATCTCGTCCGTGCTGAAGGCCTCGTACTCAAAGAACAGCCCGGGAGTCTTCTTCACGTAGTTGAGGACTGCATTGCAGGCAACGAGGTCTCCCACAGTCGCCACTCTCATCACACTCTGGAGGCGGTGGCTGATAGGCTATATCAGGTCTGCAGACTCGGGTGAGCCAGTTGAGAGAGCCTACCACACTTCGGAGTTGGCTCACCTCCTTCTCGGTCGCGCGATCTCCAGGATGAGCTCGCCTTTCACTGGTCATGATGACCGGGCGGACCTTGCAGGCAAGGTTGGGACAGGTGATGGTGATCCCCTTCTCGCCCTGAGCAATCACCCTTCCACAGTAGGTGAACTCGTCCTTGGTTTCGATCGTGCCGAAGGCGAACTTCGTCTGGAGGTTGTGCATGATGTTGTCCATGTCCTGGTCACCGCACCACAGCAAGTCATCAACATGACTTACCATCACTCCTTTGAGACGTCCGCTGCCGTCAGTCAGGACGTAGGCGGCGTTCTCGTAAGGCACAGCTCGGAGTCCAAGCTCGAGGCAAACTCGGTGAGGGCGACGCCAAAAGCCTCTGGGTGCATCCTTCGTGCCGTAAACCGGCTTTTGAGCCAGTAGCAGAGACCCTTCAGGAACCCCAGGCAAGCCGCCTTTGGGAGGCTTCAGCACGAGTGCGCGTGTCATCCGCTCACCCTGCAGGAAGGAGGCTGTGATGTCTCCTCCCTTGAGCTGCCAGCGGTTGCACGCAGCCAGGGAGACTGTATTGAGCATCAGTGCCGAACAGGTTGGAGAATCGGTCCGGGCATCTGCTGCTTACTTCGAGGTCCCCTCTCACAACGATTCGGGATTTGTAGAAAGGAGTCTCCCAGGGCTCGGCCTTGTTGGTGTCGACCCAACGCATTGGAGTCGGAGTGACGGCGTTTTTCTTGAGGAAGGTTGCAGCCGCTTCCGGAGGGAGCACGTTGACAGCTTCAAAGTTCTTCCAGTTGCCCCATTCCTTGGAGCGGGCATGCTCGATGCCTTTCTTCTTGTCCCCTTCGGCCTTGTCGTAGTTGAGCTCCTTCTTGCGAGCAGCTGCCGTCTTCTTGCAGACACGCCTGTTGAGGAAAGCCAGGAAGGCACGCTCGCCGTTGGTGAGTGCTGCTTGCTCTGCTGGCCGTCGCTCGGTAGTTCTCGTTGTCCCGGAGGTCGGTGGCGGCGATCGGGATCGAGGTCGAGGTCGTTGGGCGTGTCCATCCAAAGCGTCGGGGCTCCTCCGAAGGGCTTCGTGGAGGTTGCCGTGGTTGCTGTTCCCAGTGTCCTCGCTGGGTATGACTTCCGTTTCAGGTCGCGGAGTTGAGGTCCTCATCCGCGTCTGGGCCGCCAACTGGGATGGTGGCCACGTCGACTTGCTCGGCCTCAGGTAGTGCAGGTAGTCCAGGAGGTGGTGCCATTGCCGGAGACATAGCGGGCAGGCTCGTCGTGGTTGTAGGAGCTTAAAGGCTTGAGGTCGCTCATCCCGTCGAGGATGTCGGCAGCCTCGTGAGGGAGGAGCTCGGCACCGGACACGTCGGGAGCCACCACGAAGTCCTGGCCAGCGTTGACGTAGGTCCTCTGCTCGGTGGTGCTGCGAGGTACTCCAGAAAGGTCGTCACCGAACGGGTAGGAGAAGCCATCTTCAAGTCCAGGAGGCGCGGCTTCTTCTCGTCGCCGTTTCCGAGAGGGACGGAGCTCCACAAGTTGCTTGCTGACTGCCTCGTCCCCAGTGCTGTGTCGACATTGTTCGGCTGAGACAGTCATGGGGATGCCGCCGTGGATGATCCAGAGAGTGCTTCGCCCTTCTGATCCAACCACCCTGGCAGGTCCATACCATCGGCCGCCTCCCTTCTTGTTGAATTGGTGTTTTTATAGAAACAAATGAGGTCGCCGGTGTGGAATGGTCCTCTGGTCGCTGTGGCCTTTCGTAGCATCGCTGCGCGCTGGATCTCGGCGTGTTGGCCAAGTTGTTCTTCCGGGCAAAGTACCGTGAGAGAATCCACCTCCTTTGGTATGTATCCAAGGACCCATTGTGAAGGCACGAAGCCACGATGATTTATGCGATGATTCTTCACCGTGGTACATTCGGTGACGGCATACTCCATCTCCTTCACGCTGGCGATCTGTTTTGACATGATCGTGGCCTGGGTGAGCTCCTTGAGGAGACCCCCTTGTCTTTCTCCTCTGCCAAGTTGGTTGGGAGACCCAAGACCAATGAACCGAAGAAGAACTCCATGTCCCTTGAGAAGTCCCTGTAGTTGACCACGGTTCTCAACACCACGGTCCATGACCACAGCCTTGGGAGGTCCTGCCCAGGCCAGCCATGATCGGTTCAGCATGTTTGCGCACTCCGCCGAAGAAGGAGGTCCATCGCCCTGGCCCACAATGCCTGCGACATGAAAGAGAGTGCCCATGTCCACAATGCTGAGGATCTTGTGTTTGACACCGGACATGTCCTTGACAATGAAGGTGTCTATGGCAATCTCCTCATTGAACTTGTACTCGGAGGGAAGCTTGGTTGCCGGAGCCGGCGACGGCACCTTGGTGTTCTCGCACACTGGGCACCTGAAGTGGTCCAAAGCCGCAATGGCCTTCGGGTCGGCACCAGCCGTTCGGAGCAACCTCTTCATTGCAGCCGGGGAGGCATGTCCAGTCATGGAGTGGAGCCTCCGAAGAGCCACCCTTTGAGCGTAGGGAAGTTGGCGCCATCGTTGCCGCCGTTGTCGTAGTTCAGCCGACTCCAAAGCCTCGTGAGGTGGTGGAGGACCTTCCTCTCGTTCGATCTCGCGCTCCTTGTCAATCCTTCGTGTCTCGAGGTTCGTGTTGTCCGTCGGCGCCAGGTCGACCTCAGAGTAGATGCCGTCGATGGTCTCGAGGACGTTGTAGTCGGGGTTGTCCTCCGCATCAGCTTCGGCAGGGAAGGCAACACGCGTGTAGGTCTCGTCCATGGACTCCACAAAGCCGTCGATGATTGCGACACAAAGTTCGCGAGGCCAATCTTGAGCATGCTTGCACGTGTTGCCACCCTCCAAGGTCTGATGGTAGTGGTCTCCGGTGCATCGTCGTCCGAGCTGTCGTTTGACGGCCTCGGTAGCGGCGGCGAATCCCGTAGGCTTAAGGTGAGGTAGCCCAGATTGCCGGTCTCGAAGTCCGGACTGGCATTGGTCGCCACGCACTGCTTCGAAAGGCTCTGAGGTCGCTGCGTCCAGGGGAGCGTCCAGAAGGAGCCGATGAAGGTCGGTTTCGCTCCAGGCCGAGCTTTATCAGGGATGTTCGATGAGGACTTGGCGTCCACGAGACAGCCTCTCCTTGGTAACCTTGGCTATCCACTGGAAGACCGGGCGCCAAAGAGCTCGGGTGGCTTCCAGTTCGGGCAGCTTGTCCTCCGGAGTCATGTGCATCCATGGCGACCAGGGCGTACACACTGGACTAAAAGTGACAGCGTAGGGGTCGTCCCGGGCGATGATCGTCCCTTGGCCGTTGTGAGGTCGTAGTCGGAACCGTATCGGGCATCAATGGGCGAGCTGATCGGGTTCCCGTACTCGATGGCGGCGAGGTTGCTGAGCATCGCAACTCCAGCAAAGATCTCGAGGATGAAGGTCTTGCATCCTCGGGGCAGCGGCGAGTGTCGGCGACGAGTCTCCTTCGAGGCCAGCTGGTTCCAAAGATGGTGGTCCTTCGCAGTGAGGTCGCGAATGCCAGCGTCCAGCTTGTCGCCTTGCGGCTTGCTCATGGTCCTGGTGTTCTGGTGGTCCAGGGCAAAGTAGCTGTTGGCCAACTCGTGCTCCGTGTCCATTTCCGCGCCCTCGGTGTGGTCGGTGTCCTCGCCGTCGCGGTCGTCTTGGTCTTCGCCGTCTTCCTCGTCGTTGCCGTGGTAGTAGTCGTCCAGGTTCCCCTCTGCCCAGAGATTCCAAAAGCC